TTGCAGACAGCAGGCTCTTCACCATCATCACAACAAGCATGTGCATGGTTTATATTTTTTTTAAGGCACTGCTCCACTCAAGTGTTTCAACTTGGATGAAAACAAGTTTGCAAGTTAAATGGAATAACCACTTCCCAGCTGAATCATGGAAACTGTTGGTGCCACATAGAATGAGTTACCTTAAACCACTTTTGTGGTTAAGATTTACCACATTACCTTGTGTTGGACACAGGGTAAAAACATGCAGATGCTCAGCACCATCTCTTTTGACTAGCATCTGTTCTCCCAAATGTAATAACATTGTCAGAAGCAGCAGGATATCTTTATCTTCTCAAAAGTAACATACATATCCAGAGCTTGGACACAGGACATCACTACCATTAAAGCACAGCTACTTAAGAGCTGCTCTGTATTAACCCACAGCTAAAGCATTTTACCTTTCTGTTTCCAAGGAAATACAACTATGTGCAGTTCATTCAGTAACTACACTCATCGACTGTGCTGAATACACAAGAATTTAAGTAACCCAGTAACATGGCCAAACCCTCAAGTGTTAGTGTCCTAATGATTTGAATGGTGTTTTCACTCATAAGTCACATTAAAAAGTTACATTCCTGTGCTAAGGCAGACTAAATGACTGTAGCAGCCAGGCTAGGGCCAGATTCGACTGTTTCAAGTTTCAGAAGCCTCTTGGGAAGCCTGGACACTTGTTCAGTTGGTGAACCCGCAACAAACTCTGAGTTTCTGTTTGGGTACTGTGGTACTCAGTCCAGCTGGATTAAGGCTGACTGGACATATGCCTTCTGAACATAGCAAAGACATAGCCTCAGGCTCCCCAGACCTTTAGGCAGGATGTCCTCACTCCCAAGCTGAACAAACTATTTTTGGATTATACAAAATGGATGTCAACAGACCTGCTGTAATGAAATGCTGGTTAAAAACAGCACCTGTCTACAGCAAAGGGATGGCTGGTGATGGCTTCCACAGATGTTCCTAAAATGCTGTGCCGCTCTAATCTTTTTTTTTCTGAAAGGTTCTTCATGCATCCAACTGTCTGGGGAAGAGGAGAGTGTGCACACAGCAGAGTGACATTGGGTGGGTGTGGAGAAGAAAACAGCCTTACATAACAGAGAGCTGAGTTTTGCATCTTGAAGCAACTGGTCTCTCTTATTTAATCCTTCTTTTCTCACTGTATTTCACCCCTGCCTCCCCCTCCTTACACCTCAAAGTCTGGAAGCACACACTGCGCAGTGACAGTGTAAAACACAGCACAATGACAGTGTGACACACGACGCAGTGCCAGTGTTAGCACACAACTTAGTAACAGTGGGACACACAGCACGGTGACAGTGTGGCAGAGCTGGGACACACAGCAGGGCTGGCAGTGGGGAGATCCTCAGGGTCTATATGTTCAGCATCAGACAGCTGATATATGCCAACTGAGCTGCAGAAAAACACAGCTGTCAGTGTAAACTACTTAGTTCTCTATCCTGTGTGCATGCAGACCTCATAACTGCAGAGTTTGTTCGAAAGGCAGGCGCACTGCCTTACCCACAAAACGAAGCAAGCAGGGTCAAGCGATGTAGGACTGGCTGCCATGAATGCACAGCATTAAGACAGAAAATGAAAGTTCAATCAAGACAGCCCTGTGGAAAGATAAAAATACACCACAAGGCAAGAACGAATGGGGCGATATAAAAGCCTGCATTGACTCTTCCTGCCCCAGTTTCTCCTCGTCCGGCCCAGGATCCGCCAACACCGCCGTGCGCGGGCAGCTGGGGCCCACACCTGAGGGAACCCGCCATGGCAGCGCCGGGGCCGCCCCGCACAGCCGGGCTGGGGCTGCCCACACCTGAGGGGAACCCGCCATGGCAGCGCCGGGGCGCTCCTGCCCCGGGGCCGCCGACAGCAGGGACACGACGGGGCTGCCGAAACACCGGCACTGCTTCCCTGGCTTCAGTACACCCAGGCGGTGGCAGAGCTGCA